GTTGTTCCTTGCTGTGGAGTGTTGCTGCGTACCTTGTGAAATGTTTATCAGCATCTGTGGCCTCCACTGACCAGACTCGAGTAGCATCCCCTCGTTGTGACAACGATAAATGACTCTGGACTTTGCCAAATATCCCCTGGGTGGAAAAAGACACCCATAGTTGAGAATCACTGTGCTAAATAAATGTTTCCCTTCTGTCTCTGTCATGTTTAGAATCAGCTAGGGATTTGTGTGCCTATTTACATTTAATGTTTGAATTCAACTCTTATCCAATCCACTGTTACCATGGGTTGACTGGTTTCCATTAATCAAGTGTCCTGATTATTGTGATTTTTAAAAAAACGGTATTTTAGACAAACACAGGGTTGTTAGGGGAGACTGGGGAAAAGATGGGCAAAAGTGTAACAGGGAATAGAAATTCTGTGCATGTAATGGTAATTCCTAGAACTTCTTATCAAAATCAGAAAAAAAAACCACACTACAAGGATTCAAAGCAGAACATTATTTTTTTCTTTAAGTAAAGTGATCCACTGGAATTCAGGTGTTAAAATGAATAGTGGTAGCTTATATGTCTGGATAAATTTTCTTGCTTTGACTAAGACAAATACTTAGCTTTTTTTTTTTTTCTTTCCCCAGTTGATAGTCTATATAAGTGGCCATTTAATTTCATTAACTTTTTCAAAAAGATAAGTCCTTGGAAATGTAATGTGGGGAGCAAAGTATTTGCTTTTTAAAAATGTTATAATTTATCCCTGTATGCACAGATTTATAAAGCCAACTCTACCATTTAAAAGTTAAAAATCAGTAAATTTTTTTTTGATTTCTCCCCCAAAGGCCCTTCAAATTCACATGGATATATGGCATGAACTGATTTCCTTAACATAATATAGATAAAATTTTTATAATCAGATTCTGGCTTGATATATTAAAATCTGGTTTTGGTTTTAATTTACATAGAAACCAGATTTTATTGACATGATAGGTATGTAAACAAACTCCATCTTTGATTAAAATAAACCTGAAAAAGCCTTTGATATGAATCATATATTGAAACATAGGTCTCCATTTAGAGCCAGAATGCTGGGCTTGAACTTTGACACACTTACTATTAGTTGTGTGACCTTTCATATATTTATTTTGCCTCAAAAAGTTCATCATTTATAAAATAAAGCTACATCGCTTCTCAGCCTTTTGGCTAAGATCAAGTCTAAAACAGAGCTAGTATTATTTTTTGAGTAAAATTACCTGAGTTATATAAAGTACTTGACATATCGTAAGTGCTAAGTATAGCTGCTATTATTGTAATTATTGCAATGTGAAGTATTTCTATCCATCCACCATATATTCAGTAAAATAAAGAAGGGGTCCTATAATTGTAGGAAATGGCAGTAACCAGAGCCTGGTCATAACTGTAGTAGAATGTACCCACATTTTCCCTGTTTTCCCAAAGTGGCACTTGATGCCTTTTCAGCATATCAATGCAAGATAATGTTACAAAATCTGGAGAGATTGAGTGCAAAGAGAGGCATAACCTTGTATGCATTCATCCTAAAATGAATTATTTTTGCCTCTTTCCTCTTTTTTTCCTTCATAGAATGAGATTAGGATTTAGTATCAAAGAAACTGTTGCATTGCTGGCTTTGCCTCTTAGTAACTGTATAGCCTAGAGTCAACTGTTTGTTCTCTGAGCCTCTCCTTGCTGTGTAATGTGGGAATGTAGGCAGCACTGTTCACTACTGCATACTGTCAACTGTCTCCCATTGTCCTGTGGACTCTTGACACATTCTGGAATCCATTCCTGTGGTGATACTGGTCTTGTGCCCTCTGGTGTAGTAATTTTCCATGCTATTCATTTCCACTATTGTCTCCCCCTGTAGGTTGTGCTTCCATAGGTAAGCACATGTGTGACTTACTCATGTTTGCAGCATTGGTACTAGAGTGTGGTTGGTGCTCATTGAACTCCTTTAACCCATGAGAAATCTGTCGAAGCAGCTGTCTTAAGTTGGATGGATTCACACTCTTGCTGACTTTACTAAGATGATAGAGAGAGGGTCAGTTTGAGATTCTAAGAGCTATGTTATATGTCAGCCTGGAAACTTGCCTGCTACCTGGCTGCATGTGTGTCTGTGATGAGGATCCCCCAAAGAATAAGGCTGGCTGTGCAGGATTGCCTGGGTGTGGTTCTCATACTATTTGTCATTTTCTCCTCTTTGTATATTTTATGAATTAGAAAATGACAGGAATATAATATGCTAGCATTAGGCATCCCAGGAGGCCAAGGACATCAATTTTCAAGGTTTATGGGCTTTAGGCACATTGTCAAAGTGCTCATTCCCTTCCATGTTCATTGCGGCCTGCCTAATAGCAAATTTGCCCTTTAGAAAGATAATTATGTGGGGACTAATTAGCAGGCTATTGCAGTTATTGAGGTGACAGAAAAGATAAAAAGGGCTCTGACAAAGTCATGAAGATGAACCTTGGGGGCAGGGCATAAAGAGCCTTAGGAAATAAGAATCTGTGGACTCTGGACTTTGCTCATGTCACAGAACACGGAATTGTGAGGGCCAGTGAAGAATCAAGAATGCGAATCGGGTTTCTGATTTTTGCAACTGGAGCAAACAATGGCCTTAATCACTAAGGATATTTTTTCTTTGGTCTATTGTATCTATGTTTATTTGGTTTTGAGTAGAAGAAAATGTTTTCAATTTTCATATGCACTGAATTTGAAATTCCGGTGAGGCCCTGGTTGCAGAGCTCAGACAGCTGTTCAGAACAGATCTGGGTGTCAGGAGGGAGATCCTTGCTTCAGAATTGAGAGCATCCGGCATATACATGAGTCACGTTTATGCATGATGTCATGTGGAAACTGTTTATCGAGAGAAGAGACAAAGGCAAAATAATATGAGATACTAACTTGAAAAGCAGTGTCAATCAACAGGCGCTTTTTGCTTTATCCTGCAGAGGATGATCCCCTGAGTGGAAGAGAATTAGGGGAGACTTGTTTTTCCGAAGCCAACAAAATAAAGAATTTCAGGAAGGAAGATGGACTCAAGTCTCTAGTGCTATGGTTAAGTGGGTGGTTCACATAAGGACACTATTTTGAGGGTTTGAGAATTAGTAGACATTTGATATGATGTATTGGGGATTCTGGGAATAGAGCCTAAATTAGATTTAGGGTTGAACCGGATTTGGAGATGGGACATATGCAGCATAGATCATCCTTAAAGAAAATCTGACTTTGAATGGAAAAAACAGTCATAAAAAGTATAGGTGGAACCAGGAATGAAGAACTATTTTAGGGCTATTTTCTTCTGCTATTTGTAAAGAGCTTCATGGACATGTTTGTAATCTTAAGAGGGAAAGAAAAATGTAATGGGGAAAGATCATGAAGATAGGCAGATGGGGTCTATTTTAAGATTTTTAATTTCTAAGAAAGATCGAAATAATAAAATTGCATACCCAGGTAGTATTTCTCTTCTGGTGCAACCTTACATCTAAGAAGGGCCCTTTTATCTGAAAGTGAAAGAAAAGTGAAACAAGACAATGAAGGTTGTAGACGAGTTTCGCAAATGAGATAACGCATAAGAGCTTCATTAACTGGGAAGCATTGTATCTATCAGTCAATTGATTCTAAAGAATGTGGCTTATTCATGTTGAAAATGATAGCTTGATCCGTTTTACCCACCTTTAAAGACAGTTTTCATGCACTCTAGAACCCAGGAGGAAGCTTCTTTCTCCCTTGTTCTCCGAACCTGCAAAGCACACTGAACCACACACCCTTATCCATTTCATGAGCCAAGTGTTGTTCAAGATCATTTTATATAAGAGCATGTCTATGTGTACATCACAGTGATCTTTATGGGTTTGGGAATTCTTTAATCTTTTCAAATGAATTTTTTGTTAATATTAGAAATAATGAAGTTCACATGTGCTAAGGAAAACAGCAAACACTTGTTAGTTTCAAAATGATTCTCTTCAATGAAATAATAAGCAGAGTATTTTGAAATGCTCTGTAAAGTAAGTGTTGATCAGTTGCCTTCTCTTTTTGCACATTCCCTGTGACCAGTCTTTCAAAGGCCTCGGCAGCTGCCAAGTTGATACTGCAGTTTGTGATGACAGCGGCAGTACTCAAGCCCATAGCTGTGGCTAATGTCTTAAAGATACTTACTGATTACAAGGTAATGGGCATGGGCTCAAAAGTGCTGTCTGAGTGCTTTGTGAACTTAGTTCAATTCTCTGTCACCTCATCTGCAAAAACATGATTGTATTTTAGTTCCATTTAGGTCAGCAGGGCGGAGCCTGAAGCAGCTGGCTAATTACATGTGACCACCACTTAAAGAGCCTCCTGGGGAGACTCGTGGAGTCTTAGGGGCTGTAGAGTGGGTGTGTTTCAGAGCGGTGAACTGAATGAGCTGTGCACAGTGTGCTAGACGAAATCCAACTAGCAAGGCAAAGCAACGTGGGCAGCCTTTAGTCGTTTCCCCTTTATGCCCTTATGGTGCCTGGGAAGATTGGGACTCTTTTTGCTGTTGACCTAGACTACCTTTGAATGTCATGTGGTTGTGGACCAGTGTTTCCCAAATAGCGCACTGCTAATGGGAGAGAGAGGCATCTCCTATTCCCATATAGATACATTACCATCTTAGACAAGCTTCCTTTCTCAAACGATGAGATATTGTGTATACCTTATGAACAAATTTAAGCTGTTAGTAATTCTAGTGGGGACCGAAAAGGCAAAGCAGAAAGGCCCAAGTTCAGTGATGCTGGCAGGCTTTTTGAAACTGCCTCTTAATACTTTCTAATGCAACATGAATACCTACAGCATGGTGTTCTCTCCTGAGGAATCCCTGCCTTCTATTTAGAATTTATTTTTATAGTACCGGTTCAGCCTTTTTTTTGTGCTTCTAAACATATTTTACTTTTGGAATATAAAATAAAAATTTGTGGTTTTATGTATAGTAATGCAATCCTGTCTCCAAATTTCTGTTTTCCCCCTGCAGAGGGTTACTACTACAGGAGAACAGCAGATTTGCAGAAGCCCTGCATTATTACAAATTGGCCATTGGGAGCAGGCCCACCCTGGCTTGTAAGTAATAATCATTTTTTTAAAGCCTCTTTCCATTCATGAAAATTGTCTTTGTGACTTCTAGCCTCCCAGAGAAAACATTGTGTGTTTAGATTTCTGAATATTTGCTTCTCAAGTTATGAACCTCTAACAACCATATTTCTCTAGATTTTTATCATTTTGATGGCTATTTATCATTTTAAAACATATTACAGTAGTTATAAATTTTATGCAACTAGATTTTTAACCTCAAAAGTATTTGGAGTTCCTTGAGGGCAGAGACATTTCATATATTTTTTGACAATATCTGCAGTTCCCATTACCATTCTTGCTCCCGTAAGTATTTGTTCCATGCAATTTTATTCTTGGTTTTCTTTGAAAATCATGAATAATTCTTAGGAGCTAAATGCAGCCAAAACGATTTGATTTTTTCCACCGTGTATATCACCTTCTCACACTTCTGTTTTCACTCCTTCCCCCCCCCCCCAGCTGCCTATTTAAACACGGGCATTATTCTAATGAACCAAGGGAAGACAGAAGAAGCCCGGCGCACGTTCTTCAAGTGTTCTGAGATCCCAGACGAAAACCTGAAGGACCCCCATGCACACAAGAGCTCTGTGACCAGCTGTCTGTACAACCTGGGCAAGCTCTATCATGAGCAGGGACGCTATGAGGTCTGGCCTGGTCCCTGCTACCTTTCGTTTCCCCCCTGTTCCAATCCAGCTTCGTGTTCTCTAACCCACAGCATCCTTGCAGGGCCCCCTGCTGTCTGTTCTTTGAGAAACTAATATATGTTTGTGATAAAAGGGTTTTGTGATCTGTGATAACAAGTTATTTGATAAAACTTCCGCTCCATAAAACTTTGACAGGTTTGTTTTATGTGTGAAGTTCTCAGAGCAATTATAATATATCCAGAAGGCTGGTGAATATTCAGGAAAGAGAAGTAACGTGCATTGTTTCTCAGCTGATTTGCTCAGGATTCCTTTGATTTCATGCTCCAAGACGCTAACTACAGAATTGTTGAACTCGATCCAGGGTTTTCTTTTTTATATAATTTTATTCATTTTCATTTTATTATTTTTTTTGTTTGGTTTTGTTTGTTTTTACGGGCAGAGTGGACAGTGAGAGAGAGAGACAGAGAGAAAGGTCTTCCTTTGCCGTTGGTTCACTCTCCAATGGCCGCCGTGGTCAGCGCACTGCGCTGATCCGAAGGCAGGAGCCAGGTGCTTCTCCTGGTCTCCCATGGGGTGCAGGGCCCAAGGACTTGGGCCATCCTCCACTGCGCTCCCTGGCCACAGCAGAGAGCTGGCCTGGAAGAGGGGCAACCAGGACAGAATCCGGCGCCCTGACCGGGACTAGAACCCAGTGTGCCGGCGCCGTTAGGTGGAGGATTAGCCTAGTGAGCCGCAGCGCCGGCCTATTTTCATTTTATTTGAAAGGCAGAGAGGCAGAGGTGGAGTGGGATATAGAGACAGAGAGGGATCTTTGCTCTCTGATTCATTCCCCCAATGCCCACAGAAGCCAGGGCCCTGATAGGCAGAAGCCAGGAGCCTAGAACTCAGGCCGTCTCCAACATGGAGGCGGGAACTCGAGTACATGAGCCATCATCTGGTGCCCATTAACAAGAAGCTGAACCTGGACCTGGGGGCTCAGCCACCACAGTGCACCCGCTCGCAGGGTCTGATTTTCTTTTTTAAAATATGTTGTTTGTCCTCATTGAAGTGATCTGTGAGCGGGCCTTTAGTCTAGTGGTTTAGAGGACAGTTAGCATACTCGTGTTCAATAATGGGGTGCCGGGTTCAGTCTTGGTTTTTGATTCCAGTTTCCTGCTATTATATAACATGGGAAGCAGGTGTGATGACTTAAGTAGGTCTCACACAGTTAGGAGACCCAGACTGAGTGCTCAGTTCCTGGTGCAGGAGAAGCCTCCTGGACTAACCGTTGTAAGCATTTGCAGAATGAACCAGTGGATGGGAACTCTGTCTCTCTGTCTCTTCCTGTCTCTCTGCCTCTTAAGTATTTTAAAAATGTGATTGAATGTAAATCTTACCATTTCTTTTAATTCTTCTTAGAGCTAGAGTGAAATTAAAAAATTAGAAAGGAAAAGTATTGTACCCTAAGTAGGTGACCCAGCCTCGTCCTCCCCTTGTTTCTGTTGTGTGTGTTGCCAGTTGCCCACCACGACCCCCTCTCTCCTTTAACCTGATCCATACCCCCTCAAATACTTAAACAGTATTTTGAGACTGAAGTATGGAGATGAGGATACAACTTTTGAAATAATTGCATTTAATGATTTCAGTGTGCCTTGATATCTGGGATACTTATTTATTAGGTTGTATTTAAATCCTTGTAAGTTGTCTGGCTTAAAGTAACTATGGACTTCGGGTAACTTGCAAATATGATTTTTTTAGCTTTTTATTAAATAACATGTGAAGTAGAAAATTCATAATAAAGGAGAACCGCTAGCATTTGATTCCCTGTTATATATTTAATAAAATTAAATATAAAATTTAATTTTCATTCTTCACTGAGTGAATGGAGTGTTTTCAGATGTGAAATTGAGATAGGGTACCATCAAAGGGACAGTCCAATTATGTCCCTCTATTGAACCATTTAGATAGGAATGAATGCTTTTAACTTTGAAGAATGTTAATAACTTATTTTTATCAGATATGCCTGTGCTTTAGTGATGATTTATCTCTTGGTTTTGTTTTTTCAATTAGGAGGCCCTGAGTGTATACAAGGAGGCTATTCAGAAAATGCCAAGACAGTTTGCCCCTCAGAGCTTATACAACATGATGGGTAAGTAAAACACTGGTATTGTAATTGATATTTTAGTGACCTGTTGACACATTTAAACCTGTGCACTTACAATGAATCATAGTATTAACACTCACAAAGAAAACTTATTCACCCATCAGTGTCACCATGAAATCTGCGAGAGCATGTTCGTTCTGATGTGGGTGAATTAATGTACTCTCCTAACACATTGGTCAGGTCCCATAATGATTGCAGGGGGTTCTGAAAATCATTTGGATGAATTGAGTATTAGCTGGACTCTAGAGAGAAAAAGTAGCATTGTATATGTATGTGTGATTTTGTGATTATGTTTACAGATGAATAAATTACGCATTTGTTCTATTTAATGTAGCAAATTCATGCCAATTTTGAACGGGTTAGTCTCTTAATCAGAAGATTATCAAAATTAAACATGCTTTGAAAGTTGTGAATATTGATGCATATAAAAGATGAGAAAAAGCAGCCAGCTTTTGTTTTCATTGATAAATTGAATTTTAGTGTTTTCAGAGTAGTCTTTTAGTCTAAAAACAAGACTGAAATCTGTAAATATGCTTATAATACAGTGATTCCTTTTTTAAAGATTTTGCTTATTTATTTGAAAGGCAGGGTTACAGAGAGAGAGAAAGAGAGAGAGAGAGATCTTCCATCCACTGGTTTACCCAACTGGCCACGATACCTTGACCCCAGCTGGTACTAGAGCCTGGAACTTCATATATCTCCTAGATGGGTAGCATAGGCCATCTTCTGTGACATTTCCAGGAACATTAACAGAGAGCTAGAGAGGAAGTGGAGCAGCCAGGACTTGACTGGTGCTCTGTAGGGTGCTCGTATTGCAAGTGGTGACCCCAAGATTCCTCTCTCTTTGTTGGATAATTCTTTCAAACATACCAGTCAGAAAGTACATGAATCTGGGGCATGGAGTTTTGTTAAGTACAGGAGGTCATGAACAACAAATTCTGTTAAAATGGGGCTGACATGGTAGCACAGTGGGTAAAGCTGCTGCCTGTGATGCTGGCATCCGTTATGGGTGCTGGTTCGAGTCCCAGCTGCTTCACTGTTGATCCAGCTCCGTGCTAATGTGCTAAAGAAAGCAAGCAGTGAAAAATGGCCCAGGTTCTTGGGCCCCTGCACCCATGTGGAAGACCCAGAAATTCCTGACTCCTGACTTCAACCTCGCCCAGCCCGCTGTTGTGGCCATCTGGGGAGTGAACCAGAGGATGGAAGATCTCTCTCTGGCTCCTCCTTTCTGTAACTCTGCCCTTCAAATAAATAAATCTTTAAAAATAAATTCTAATAAAGTACCTACATGTCAGTAACCACTGACTGTCTTGTAGGAGATTGGTACTACATTTGTTTAGAGGTGAACACAGCTGAATCCTGCCTTTCGAGGTTGGGACACTTGGAAAAAAATGACCAACATTTTTTCAATTTTGCTCACATACATTGCTTTTTTTGTGCTTTGTTTATTAGTTACCATAAATCAAGGAAAATATGTTTGTCTTTTGGGAACTGGCTTATTTCAATAAGAATAATGGTCTCCAATTGCATCAATTTTGTTGTCAAAGACATTTGCGTCAATTTTGTTCTTTTTTATGTCCAAGTAGCATTCCATCATGCATAAACCACAATTTCTCTATCCAGTAATCCTTGATGGGCATCTGTGGTGACTCCATGTCTTAACTACTGTGAATTGAGCTGCTATAGACATGGGGGTATGAAAAACACTTCAATATGCTGATTTCATTTCCTTTGGGTTAATTCCCAGGTTGGGATGGCTGGGTCATATGGTAGGTCTATTTTCATATTTCCAAAGAACCTCCATACTTTCTTTCACAATGGCTGTACTAGTTTATATTCCAACTAACCATGTGTTAGGATATGTTTTTCACACATCATCACCAGCATTTGTTGTTATTTGATTTTTTTAAAAGATTTATTTATTTATTTGAAAGAGTTACACAGAGAGAGGAGAAGCGGAGAGAAAGAGAGGTCTTCCATCCAATGGTTCACTCCCCAGATGGCCGCAATGGCCAGAGCTGTGCCAATCCAAAGCCATGAGCCAGGAGCTTCTTCCGGGTCTCCGTCGTGGGTGCAGGGGCCCAAGGGCTTGGGCCATCTTCTACTGCTTTCTCAGGCCACAGCAGAGAGCTGGATTGGAAGGGGAGCAGCCGAGACTAGTACCGGTGCCCATATGGGATACCAGTGCTTCAGGCCAGGGCATTAACCCGCTGAGCCACAGCACCAGCCCCGTTATTTGATTTTGGGATGTTGCCAATTTAACTGGGGTGAGGTGAAATTTTATTGTGGTTTTGCTTTGCATTTCTCTAATGGCTAGTGATTTTGAGCATCTTTGCATTTGTCTGTTGGCCATTTGTCTTTCATCTTTCGAAAAATGCCTGTGCATGTCATTTGTCTATTACTTAACTAAATTGTTTTGCTGTTGTGTTTCTTGAGCTTCTTAAATATTATGGATGTTAATTCTTTATCAGATGTATAGTTTGCAAATATTTTCTCCCTTTCTGTCCATTGCCTCTGTGTTGAGTGTTTTTTGTGCTGTGCAGAAGCTCCTTAGCTTTTTAGAATGCCATTTGTGTATTTTTGTCTTTATCACTTGTGCTTCTAGGGACTTACCCAAAACGTCTTTGCCTTTGTCAATGTCTTGTGGTGTTGCCCTATGCTTTCCTCTAGTAGTTTGACCATTTCAGGTCTTAGATTTAGATCCCTGATTGGTTGTGAGTTGACTTTTGTACAGGGTGTATGGTAGGGTCTTCTTTCATGCTTCAGCATGCAGAGATCCCATTTTCCCCACACTGTGAAGAGACCATCCTTTCTTCAGGGTGTGATTTTAGCTCGTTTGTCAAAGATCAGTTGATTGTAGATATATGGATTAATTTCTGGGGTCTCTAATCGGTTTCATTGGTCCCCATGTCTTTTCTCTGTCTTTAAAGGTTTATTTTTTTATGTATTTGAAAGGCAGAGTTAGAGAGAGAGAGAGATTTCCATACAATGGTTGATTCCCCAAAATGGCCACTATGATCCCGTTTGGGCCAGCCCGAGGCCAGGAGCCAGGTGGCTCTTGGGTCACCTTCCATTGCATTCCCAGGCTCATTAGCAGGAAGCTGGATCAGAAGTGAAGCAGCTGGGACTCGAACTGGTGCCTGTCTGGGATATTGGCACCACAGGCAGCAGCTTTACCTGCTACACCACAACATGTGTCTATTCTTGTGCCACTACCAAGATTTTTTTGATTCTAACCCCCTTGTACTATGTTTAGAAATCTGATATTGTGATGCTTCCAGCTTTATTTGTATTGCTTAGGATTCCTTTAGCTTGAAAGGTCTATTTATTCTTGAATTTTATTTCTTTCTTCCTACTCATTTGGGGTTTGATTTGTTCTTGTTTTTCTGGGTCCTTTAGATGCACTGTTAGGTCATTTATTTGATGACTTCCAATTTCTTGATGTAGGCATTAATTTCTATAAACGTCCCTCTTTTTTTAAAAGATTTATTTATTTGAAAGTCAAAGTGGCACAGAGAGGGAATAAGAAGCAGAGGGAGAGTGAGAGAGAGGGAGTGGGAGAGAGATCTTACGTCTGTTGGTTCATTCCCCAATTGGCCACAATAGCCAGAGCTGCACTGATTGGAAGCCAGGAGCCTGGAGCTTCTTCTGAGTCTCTCACATGGGTACAGGGGCCCAAGGACTTGGGCCATCTTCCACTGCTTTCCAAGGCCATTGCAGACAGCTAGATTTGGAGTGGAGCAGCTGGGACTTGAACCAGCGCCCATATGGGATGCTGACACTGCAGGCAGTGGCTTTACCTGCTATGCCACAGCACCAGCTCCTAAACTTCCTCTTAATACTACTTTTGCTGTTTATAAGTTATGAGATGCTGTATTGTCATTTTCATTGTTTTCCAGGAATGTTTTCATTTACCTTTTTATTTCTTCTGTGACTTACTGTTCATTCAGGTGCATGTTGTTAAGTCTCTGTTCACATGTTTTCTAGAATTTCATAATTTGTTAATTTACAGCTTCATTCTGTTGTCAAAAATGATATAGTATGATTTCAAATTTTTAAAATTTGTTTAGACTTGCTTTATGGCCTAACATGTGGTCTGTCCTAGAGAAAGACCCATGCACCAATGAGAAGAATGTGTATTCTATAGCTGTGGGATGGAATGTTCAGTAGATACCAGTTAGATCCATTTGATGCGTAGTGCTTTCTCTGTTAACTTTCTCTCTAGTTTATCTGTTCATTCATGAAAGTGGAGTGTTTTGAAGTCCACCATTATTACTGTATTAGAGCCAATGCCTCCCTTTAGATCCATTAACTTTTGTTTTATATACCCAGGTTCTATCATTGGGTGCATATATTTTTACCATAGTTACATATTCCTGTTGAATTGATCCATTAATCCTTACATAATGTCCTTTGTCTCTTTTAATAGTTTTTTAATCTATTTTGTCTGATGTTCAGATGGCTACTCCTTCTCATTTTTGATTTTTATTAACATAGAGATCTTTTCCATCCATTCACTTTCATTCTGTGTGTATCATTGTTGGTGAGGTATGTTTCTTGCAGGCAGCAAACAGATGTCTTGTTCTTTATTCAGTAAGTCTGTATCTTTTAATTGGAGAATTTGGGCCATTTGCATCCAAGGTTACTATGAGTAATGACTTGGCCTGTCATTTTTTCATAAACATTCCTATTGTTTGTTTTGGATTTACTTTGTACTTTTTTTAAACTTTTATTTAATAAATATAAATTTCCAAAGTACAGCTTATGGATTACAATGGATTTTCCCCCCATAACTTCCCTCCCACCCGCAACCCTCCCATCTCCCGCTCCCTCTCCCATTCCATTCACATAAAGATTCATTTTCAATTATCTTTATATACAGAAGATCAGTTTACTATATATTAAGTAAAGATTTCAACAGTTTGCACCCACACTGAAACACAAAGTGTAAAATACTGTTTGAGTACTAGTTATAGCATTAATTC